CTCTATATATTATTAAAGACGAGACGTTATACTATATATTGCCTTAGTAAAATATTCAATATTTATTGCTTTATTAAATTTTAAAAACTGTGATCAGAACTTTTGGTATACCCTAAGTATGATAGCAACGGAAGACAGTATTATTTATTGCACAATTTTTCAAGCAATAAAAAGTCCAGATAAGACCATCAAAAGGATACTTAGTTTGATTGTTGATGCGTTTGACTTACAATTCACGTTGGCACAATCATGAAATTTTACTTCAAATTTATTGTTTTCATCAATGCCTTTGATTCAGATATAGGCAAACTCTACATTATCATCTGGTTTATCAATGACTAATGTTATTTGACCACTTTTAGTTGTGCTTGTTTCCTGCGACGATTGCCGAAAATAAGACTTGAATTGTGTCCAAAGTGATGGATCAACATCATTTGCTCTTGTTTGATAATCAATAAAATCAGTTGGGTCCTTTGGATTTCGATTTATAAATGAATAAAATAATTTCACATTACCATTGAATAGTGTAACAGTAATCAAAATTTTGTTACCAATAGTAACAATTTCAACTTTCAGAAATTTATATTTGTCCTTACTAATTTCAATGGTGACAGTTGTATTCGATGAGACAGCTGCTGGTTCAGAACATGATTTTGATGTAAACTGATTTAACTTTTGTTCAAGAGCATTGTAATCCGACATAGAAAAATAGTTTTCACTTGCTGGTGGCGTACAGATAGCATGTAATTCATTTATATTGGGTCCCGTACCGACGCCAACACTCACTAAAAGGAATATCGTTTTCTTTTAACACATTCGCAGCTCGAATCGTTGCTATTCGATTATCACTGGCTCCGTCAGTGATTACAAATATCACTGGTGTTACACCTTCTGCTGATTGTCGCCGACCACGTACATAGGAAAATACCACATTGGCTTGTTGAAGAGCACGAGCAGTATCTGTACTACTGGAAAAATAAGTCGCTTGATCAACTTGTCTAAGCTTTTGTTCGAGAGTATACTCTGTATTCAACCATGTCAACGTTTGAAAACTGTTAGAATAGTTAATAATACCAACATGAGTTTTATTCGCACCAACATTCACTCGACGAAGTAAATCTTTTGTAAACTTTAGCTGTAGTCTAAAGTTATCGGAGCCAACGCTGCCACTAGCATCAAGAACAAAACCCAAATCCAGTTTTAATTCTTGTGAACATGTATCCACACAGCATCGAATATGTTTTGGACTGTTCGGACATGGTGGACCTTTTGGACCACTACAACCACAATATGCACTGGAATCTTCCAAACCTTTGATACAATCTGCTGCACATGTGCCTTGATGCGTAGTATTATATTGACAAACTGGTCCTTGTCCAGGATATAGATCACCACCACACTGTAGTTGACGAAGAAATGTTGAATAATATTTAGCAGCGATGGAGAGTTGCTCAATATCTCCAGTCATTTTAAACCTTTGAAGAGACGAATACGACGAACAATAGTTAGACATGGCATGGTGACCATGGAAAATACTTACCATAACATTGAAAAACCATAAAATGAACCATCAGCGTATCTTGTTAAAGCTGGTTCTATTGTGTAACGAAGCAATAGCAAACATAGTCATTTTTCAAAAAATGCGAATTTTGTAAGCTTAGTTTAATTAATACTGCTCAGTTCTAGATTCAGATTAGTGCTCATCTTTTGGCTATGCAACGAAACTGCCAAGTATAAAAGTTCTCGAGCCAATATATAACTGTGGAAGTTGTACTTCAAATCGGCGATAGAATAGAATAGTCATTCAGGAAAATGAGATCTTATAGACAAATCAATTGAATTCTTCGAAGAGAACTCGACCACATCAAAAAATTGGCCGGCTCGATGCGAGAAACAGGCGATCCTTGGTTGCCTGTATTACTTGATCGAAGATTGAACACATACGAAAAATATCATTACAGAAGAAAGCATCTCTTCTATTTACCATTTGCATTTTCTCTCATCTTTACATAGAATATTCATTGTCTTGCAGAGTTTTACAAATGAGAAAACGTTTTTCTTTTGTCCTCTCATCGACTTTGACGAAAATAGAATTTTCAAAAATCTATATTGGTTTTTCAAACGATCAAACACATACCACTATTCAAATCTGGATTAGTCCATAGCTTTGAGGCAATCATAATAGCATTTGGTATAAGTGCGACTGATTCTGGATTGGTTAGACTTTCATATTGTGGCATCGCTGTTTGTAATCTTTGATACATTGTTCTTCCACGAAGACCAAAGAAACCTCGTCGACGAAAACGAGATCCATCTCCAGCTTGTGAGTTTCCATATTTGTTGTCATCAGCAGCGAATTGTGCATCGCTACCGGTAGCTTCATCAGTTTGGAAATTCTGTGTCATCGTTGCTGCTATCGCCAAGAAAGCTGCTTTTGCTTGACAGTTGAGGCATATACCAGCTGAATTGATTCCGTAATCGAGAGCAGTTCGAAGAAAGCTAGCACGGGTTGTATTGTATAGAATATCGAAATCATTTTCAGTAATACATGTTTTTGGAGTTGATGGTAGTGTGGCAGGAATACAACAGCGTTTCAGTTCGCACGAATTACCGGCTAATATAGTTCCTTGACATGTATCGACAGATGAGCATTCTCCAATCGTATCATTGATGAATTGTGCTCGACACTGTTGTCCATCGACCGTTGATAAAAACGTAATTGCAACAATAAGAAGCAACACCTTCATTAATAGACACAAAGAAAAAGACTTTTGTTTGACTGCTATTATTTTATTTGTATTTATATAGAAGGATGTCATATCTCTAGTGTTGGTCAAGCAACTAGATTTCACTCAGTTACAGATATAATATCTTATCGCAAAATAGCATTCGTTGAATTTTAGGATTCTAGACGGCGTGGATATGCATATGAATATGAGTAGAGACTCGGGTGTGAGTATGGATGTGCGATGTAGGTGTGAGTGTGCATGGTGGGCATGGATATACTCTGGGTGTCAGTGTGAGTCTTGTCTCATCCGCATTCGCATCCCCACCCACACCCACACCCTATCTGACATACTTCCATCTACAACTTAGATTTAATCATAAATAAATACTCTTCTTTCATATATAAAAAAATATACTTCTTGTCCAGGAGGTATATTCATTCTAACTAGTTTACGTGTACATTTTTCAGCACTATAATTTAAATCAATTGTTAAAAACATTGTACGAAAAAACGCTAGTAAATTTGTATTTATTTGATCGATGATTGGTTGTTGATTTTCATCTAAGAAAAACAAAACTTAGAATTGTTTTGAGCATGGGAATGTTAGGTGGCTAACTCTAGATCGTCGATTAGATGATAATTGAAGATGAATGTGCTTAGATCATACTTCTTTTATTCATGAAAAATCACAGACTATATATAGGATAGTGGATCACACATCTTTGGCATATATCCATCAAATGATCGAGGTACAGATAAATCCCAAACGACATAATATATATGAGAAGATGACACATACAGAAAGAAAGGAAAAGATCAAACATATGTGACAGGCAGAAATGGAAAAATCCAAATATATGTGATGTCCCTAGCAGTCAAAATTAAGCAAAAAACGAACGTTATTTTGTTTTCTTTTAACTCATTTTTTCTTTCAAATGTCCAGATTTTTTGCGTTTTAACAGTTGAATTATTCTTGACTTTGAACTCGTTATACTTAGTGGAAACACAAACGTTTAAACGCAAAAAATCGGACACTTTTCATATGTTTAAACATGTTGAAAATTTACGTTTTCATGGGTTAATAAATGAGTATTTTAGTGCTATAAAACACAGAAAATTTTTCAATATTGAATACTAGTTATTTTTTATTAGGAGATTTCTATGTGTACTCTGACAGTTATCAGAAAGAAAAACAACAAGAGAAAAAAAGGATTTTTAGATCTGCATATATCTCTAAATACAGTTCACATTTTTTAACAGAATTTGCATAGCTTATTTTCATTTCCTCTATATGTACTTTGTTTAAGAAGTCGACTGTACTTAGAGATATATGTATATGTAACAATCATTTTTCTCTTGTTGTTTTTTTTCTGATAACTGTGAAAGTACACATAGAAATCTCCTAATGAAAAATAACTAATTAGTATTCAATATTGAAAAAAATTTCAATGTATTTTATAGCACTCATATACTCAATTATTTGCCGATTACTTTCTACTGCTGCTCGTAGTATATTTATTTTTTAATGGATTTCATGTGCTACTAATTTGTCGCCTTATAATAGCAAATGGAAAAAGGGACTAAAATACAAATAGTCGTAATTGCGTAACTAGGGGTAACAAACGTTAAACTTTAATTGCTTAAAATTATTTCATTTAGTTATATTGCTAACACCTTACACGACGAATAGGGCAATGAAAAAAACTATCTATATCCTAAAAATGGTAGATAAAGTTTGCAAACGACAAACAGATGTTATTCTGTTCACTTTTTAAAAACTTTATTCCTAAATCACTTATCAAAAATTCTGTAAGCATGCATTAAAAGATCGCGATCATTCATTTATGCAAGCTTCTCATCTATACCTTGTGAAGACTATTCTATAACTACTCAATAATTTTATTTAATCTGCTCATTGCCCTAAAAAAATTCTATATTTAATTCAAACAAAAATATTCTATATACATGTAGCAAGAGTTTTATAGTCTCTTGATCTATACAAAAGCTTGTGACTTAAGTGTGCGACGAAAACTCTATTAAGACACAGCGAAAAACATTTTCGTTATGTTCAATACTTTAAACTTCATTCCTAGGCAAAACATAAAAATTGCATTTTCATATAATAAAAGATTCGGTTCTTTCGCTTATACAAAGACTTCCTCTCTATTTCTTATGAAGATCATTCTATTAAAATACAATTAGATATATTTTAATTCTGTTCATCAGTTAAAAAAAATTGTATATTCAATTCATGCAAAAAATTCTATTGACATGCAGTAAAAGAAATTTTTATTCTAATCATTCATACAAAAAATTTCTATTTTTAATTCACTTAAAAATATTCTAATGCAAACTAAGGTTCAACTGCACATTAGCCACTCTCTACACTAATTTGTGTACGCAGCAAGGCACATAAAAGAGTGTGGGTGCCGCGGTGTGCCTAATCTACAGTTGTACCCAAACTAACCTTGTCAAAAATGTTCTAATCAGGTGCTCATTACGATTACTATACAAATACATATGATACAAGTATTTCCAACTTACGTTAGTTTGTTACGAGAGAGAGACAAAGGAACAAAGAGCATATCAAGAGAGATTGAAAAATCGACTTTTTTTGCGCCAGACGGATCGAGCTGAAATTTTAGGATATGAATTATGACTAATAATTACACATCTTGTGAAAGTTTCATCTTCATACATATC